GAGAAGAGATAGAGAGTGTGTGTTGTGTGTGTGTGTGTGTATAATTATATTATATATGGCTGATATAATATAATATAAATATATATATAACCTATATTATAATATATATATTAACCCTTAAGAGAGAGAAAGAGAAAAAATATTTGTTCAACAAAAACGAAACATTCTGTAACTGAGACATATAATAAAATTTTTGGAGTGATATATTGATTATACAACACAATTGGTAAAAATCTTCTGAAATATCATTTTAGAAGCCGAATGTCAAAATTTTAATAGCACAATAAAAATTGATGTGTAATTGTTTTTACCGTAATCATCACAACATAAAGAAATCTGAGAAAAAATTATTATAAGAACTGTTATACAGACACTTCATTACTAAGGCTATTCAGGGAGTCCCCATTGAACTGTTTGAAGCAAATAAGCATATTTTAAAAATTCCATATTTTTACACACAAAACAATAATTTACCTATATAAAAAACTAGTTTAAAAAAAATGTGCACGAGGGAGCCTTTATAAAGATTTGAGAAACAAATATATTGGTAAGGAAAAAATATCTCATAAATCCAATAGTTTGTAATTTGATTTACATAATTATATTAACTACTTCGCAGCACGAAACTGAGGTCATTAGCGACTACAAAATTTTATGGGTTTACGACTTGATTTAACGACTATAATCACAACAACTTAACATAGAGTTATGTTAAGTTAATATAGACGTAAACAGGTAATGAGGTGAAAAACTTTAGAATTTTAACAAATGTTAATGAGCGTACCTCTACAAAATTGTTTGACCGCTTCTTAATAACGCTTGCTTGGTCACCTTTCTGGAAAGGTATCAACTTATGTAAGTTTTCTGTGTAGTCTAACTAACTATGTACAACCCAAGATACATTCAGCATCGAGTGACAGATAACACATTAACTCATACTTCAGTAGTTAACGGGAAATTAATTGTGGTAAACTAAGCACAGTTGCAAACCTAATTGAAGTATGATTCAACTAACATTGATGAGATGAATTATATGTCCTGCACGAGTTTTGGAACCTCTCACTATCTTCGAACGTCACCCTAGTAGATTAAAGGATAACTCGGATCATATTATGACGTTATAGCCTTGTCTGGTATTGTTTTATAGTGGGCATGTGTAATGACGTAGGAATAGGTTAATTATTGTATTTTGTAGATGTTATGTTCTTTGGGATGATAAATATCATTCATTAAGAAAATGTTAAAGTAATAAAACAGTTTTATTTGTATTCACAATACATAATAGGATAAGAACGCGCGACAACTTCTAATAGGTCACTCGGGCAACACATCGGGGAGAACGTTCGTTCTCGCTAGTACATTGCAGGCGAGAGACCGGCATGCTCGCGTTGCCAGCGAAGATAATGGCAGCTGCGACAGTACGTCGCGCGCTACCGACTGTTGAGCGCCAAAACACCATAACGCAGCAAAAGAGGAATAAATTTAGCGTGCATTACAAAACATTCTTACCCCCTTACTGGATTGATGATTCTCAGTAACTGTGGCGCAATTAACTCGCGAGAATCTTGAAGAACGAGGACTACTAAGCAAAATGACTACCGCTGGCGCATCTGGAGATGTAAATACGCGTGGTAGCTGAGCCAAGTCTCGGGCTAATGGAGTTAGCGGTGTCCGATGCGTCACTATGCTCTAAACACTGGTATGACCTGCGGTATGCTAGTATCTGCTCGGGTCTATGTGTATCCTTACGTCCGTCTTAACGAAGCCCATTATCAACTGTGTTCAGGTTTCTGCGTCGGGTTCGTTTTCGCGGCGTTTAATATCTTGACAGAATCTAGATTCTGCGTATTCTTGTTGAACTTGTTGTCTCCAAACTGGTTATCGAGTAATAATTCCAAGGCGAGTCGAAACGACCAGTGCCTTGGCAAACCCATTATCCAGGCCTAGGATATGACCAGACAAAGAAGTAAAACGTGTCCTATTTCCAGTGTACAGAAAGCTCGACTTCCATTTCGGTCCAGTCGGTTTTTTCTCGCCTGACCTTTGAATCCGGCTTCACCAAGATTGAGACCGTTGTCGAAGTTCTCGTCCCAAGAACAGTTTGAGATGGAGTTTGACAGCTGGGCGTGGTCTGTCGCTTCTACGGAAAGTGGTGCGAAGGAACTTGTTCAGGTTAGTTAGCGAGGGTATCCCTGCTAGATTCGTCGATTGCATAAAGCGTGCCTCACGAGTTTGAAACAAACACGACTTCGCCTTATAAAGATTGCGGTGATACGGTGATGCTACACAATATTAGTGATACTATCACGCACTATGCTCTTACGAATGTCTTGATTTCTTCAGACAATTAAACTTTCTATGCCGTGCTCTCGAGCACCGACAGTTATACGGAGCTTCCATGGGACTGTATACGTAGAATCTCCATCTGGCAAAATGTGCAAAGAGCTGCAAAGATTGTGAAACTTTGTAGCTTTAACTATCGAAACCACATTGCTAGTCAAGGACATACAACAACAATAGTAAGCATGTGGTCATCCCACGAGCGGCAGTAAGTCCCGATCGTGTCACTTCTTTCCACACGATGCCTTGCCACTCCCAAGTGGGGTCACGAAAAAACTATCGGGTGCGTGTGCGTGAGAATGCTACATGTGTGCCAAGATTTTGCGAGGTTTTCAATGCTCTGAGTCGAGCCTGGGAAAACACGAAGCGCACGCGCCATTCCCTCATTTTTATACAATACCCAAAGTGAAGACGCTGTGTGTAGCATCTTGGAGAATCAGCAATACTCGTAAGAGAGTTGAGGTAGGACCATGACTCCTTGGCGGGCGAGAATCTTGACCAAGGAGAAGTTTGAAGATTTGCCGAATCTGGTCATCGTTGAGTCTCACGATGCAATAAGTTTCTGAATCTAATACAGGTAGTTTGCTACTCTGTCTTGATTGAACTGCAATTAATGCAAATCATCGAAATCCTCACGCTCTTGCCCTCTGAAGCAGAATTGGTCCATGGATGGCTATGGGATGGTGGATGGAAAGCAGTGCTCTGAACAGTCCATAGTTCCGCCATTCGCATTGGCTTTTGAATATGCCCATATCATGAGACATATCCAAAGACGTCGCAAATAACCGACATAATTGCCATCGCACTTGACTGCACAGCCACTGGTAATTGGGCTTTTCTGGATGAAGGATTACTGTGTAGCGTTTATGGTCCGGTGATCAGATGTGAAATGGCGGGCATAACACGGTGAATTTGAAGAAACTCTTGTGCTGCCCAATTACAATTGCAAGTGCTGTCTCTTGTCAATTTCAGGGTACCTCTGTTCAGTTGCTGAACTTGGTTCGACTGGCATAAGCGATGGGCGACTCGCGTAGCCGATCTTCGGTGTGACAGTTACTGCGCCCAGTCCAGTTTTGCTGGCGTCGTTGCCAAAAAGACGATGCCAGTTACGCCGTACTACCATGCATGAGTACTCTGGGGCGAGGTCTTCGCAATCCTCAAGATTCTATATAGCTCCTTTCGCCCGCAGGGGTCCACACGAAGGGGGTCTTCTCAGCACATGTCTTCAAAGTGGGTCGATCTCTGTTGATAAATCTGGAATGAATGCGCTATATATATGTGACTTTCCCCAGAAACAGCTCCAGTTTCCCCGGTGTTTGTTGTTCGCGCACTCGACGGCCGGATGTGCGTATTCCCGATTATGATCCCTTAAGCATCGACTTGTGGCCAAGGGCTTCCAGGTACAGGTTCTGCGAACTTTGCACTTGGCTCGGTCAGTTGAAACCATGTTGGCGAAAACGCTCCAGTGTTGAATTGAGGCCCAGTGAGTTTTTCAAATTGCTGCAAAAACATAAGTTATCGGAAGAAGACTTCACGATGTTCGCGCGACACCATTGTATGAACGGCGCCATACAACCGCCCAGAGAGAGCCAGGAATAATCTTAGCTCATCTAGACAGCACGGGTCTGAGCCAGGATCAAGCCAATAAAATTTGGTTTGAGAATGAGGGCGTGGCTGAATTCGCCCAGGTGGTGTGTATGCGTCAGTACGATCTAGGTGGCAAAAGTGGGTGGCGCCTCGTCACTCGTAAACGAGTTTCTAGCCATTTGAGGGAAGAGATGTTCGTCGATGATAATTCGTGACTTCATTTCCTGTGCATTCTTACTTCCCGTCTATACTCGAGACGACCTACATGCATGTTTTAGGATGCGCATCTGATATTCTACTCTCTTGTATAAATAAACCGGACATGTGACTTCTGACGTCCGATTTTCTTTGCGTAAAGCGTCACGCAGGGCCACGGGGACGTCCTCGAGCACTGAGCAAGAGATATGCGGTGGCAACCACCACGGCTTAATCGCGTCTTTGCCTCTATTGTGGGCCTCATTAACTATTTCCGTGAAAGATCCGCCCTGAAACACATCTCCTGGACAAACGAACAGAATAGTATGGCGTGCGTAGTTCTTTTTTTTCTGGTCCCTGCGATCAGCCGAGAAGCGCCCGGTTTGGAGAGTGTCGTGATTGATTCTGTTTGTCAAAGATACGTTAATAATTTATATCTCCAACACAAATCACCTCAGCAAATATCCATTATCCTCTATCAAGTATAGCGTTACAAAATTACAACGTCAAAACATACATAGAGTTAAGGTTTCCTGATGTGGCCGATGGTGCGGTGAACTAACGCTTGCGCCATATGCAGTTTGAAATTGCGGTGCCGGTGTAACTGGCGAAGAGCGATCAGTTTTGCAGACGTAAAGTTGATTTAATTAAGGCCTAAACTTCGTATTTGGCTCATGATACGAACAGGGGGCGCTCGGTGTCCAATTCTATCTTAATCTATCCTCGTGTTCCTCTATAACTGAACGTTCGATCAACTTGTCATCGCTGGTAATTCTTCTGCACCTCTTCTTGTTACCGAATTTGATTATCTAATCATTGCTCTCGGGTTTGTATTCAGCAAATTGAATGTGTTCCTTTCTTATACAATTTCCGAGATTCGAGCATCGAAAAAACCCGGATTGCATCGACGCGCAGTAGATCATCCAAACCATTCTCTCCGCCGCTCAACGTTGCTGCTCTCTGGATAAGTAGTCTATTAAGGTTTGATTGAATACCTTGTTGTGTTGCCCGTGATTGTTCGGCTCTGTCGCCGGCTTGAGCGACCAAACTCGAGGGCCGTTAGTGTTGGTCGCCCCGTGCAAACGGTGGCTTCGGCATACAAACTACTCCATGAGGTCGAATTGGGGGTTTTTTAAGGTTTATTCGTACAGCTTGACTTACGTTCTCGTTGTTAGCTGGCTTTCGCAGTACTGGCATCCTCGCAGCGCAGCGGTGAAGCTCTCTGATGTCTTAAGCGATGAAATCACACCACAGAATCTACACATATCCTCGATCTCACAGTCCCTTTAATCAAGCTTGTTCAATAGCAATTCGGTTCTAAAAATGTGCTATATCTCATTTGCGCCGCTAAGATCTAAGAGTGAAGTTGCTAATTGAACTCTCCACTCTCTTTGCATTGTGCTTCGAACCTTTATGCTTTGCGTGTTTTTAGGGTGCGTGGCGTCGAAATGCCGTAAATTTCGACTGTATCTCACTGTAAGCGTAGATTTTCTGGTTTCTTCTGGCTTTTAGAAGATCTGAGAGAGTCCGTGTTGAGGCAGGTCGATAATAAAACACGTGCGTACTGTGCGTGTTCATTTTTCAGAGAAAACTAGGCTCAAGACTCCAGTACCAGTGAAACCGTTGAAAAATAGGACTGCATATGTTATTCCCGTCGGGGCAGGCCGCGATATGCAACCGATGAATCGGACCGAGCCGGTGCCGCCTGCCAGGTGCTAGTTTGTTTGGGTCAACGCTGTATGACTGTCGGATAGCAACTGGCGATCATCCTCCCAGATATTGGCTGTAGAAGGCAGGCGATACTTATAGAGCATACTAGAAGGGGCGGTGTCGCCCTTCTCTAAAACCAGCGAGGTGTGCGGTGAGTCGCGCCACGCGTAGTCCGCAGTTAAGGTCCGGAACGCCGGTACGCCCGCTTGCGGGACCTGTTCGACCACGTGTATCGAGTTGAGGCTATGCACCGCCACGTGGTGCCGTTGATCGTCAACTGATACGCGGAACGTGGTCACATACAGGTCACGTTCCACACTTTCCACACAGAGCGAATTTATTATCTATTCATTTGCTGAACCATTGTTATGTTTTCTTGGAGATAAATAATTGCATTATAAGTTGTAAACGTTTATTGTCTTCAATACATAAATATGGGTAAAACGCGCGACACTTATTAACGGTCCACTCGGGAACACATCGGGAGAACGTTCGTCCGCACGATTGTGACGGGCGAGAGACACACGGGCATGCTCGTCAGCAAGATCTAAGATAGGCAGACTGCGGCACAATCGAGCATCCTAACTAAACAGATTAAGCGCCAAATTCACCAATCAGCAAAAGAGTGAAGAGAATTAGGAAGCAATATACAAACATTTAAAGATATCCCTAAAAATAGAAGCTATATTTGCAACTTTTTAAATAATTAGGACTATCCGACTAAGATAATTAATAAATTTAAAAAAAATTAAGCGTTCTTTTGCCTATTTGCCGGAGAAAGTTTGCCAGAACATTTTAGACATTTTGAGAAAAGCTTCTGAGACCCCTTAAATGTGGATGCTGACTTATCAATAGTGTTAGTGGAAGTGATTTACACATTTAGGAACATAGATTGAATGGACGCACTTTTATTCAGATATCTGTCTCCACAAATCTATCGTTTTTTCTGTCCGTAAAAATTGACCTCTAAATTTTATTCCAACACTATACAAGAGCTTATGTCTCTTATACTCGTTAAGTATGAAAGTATAGGAACGAGAAAGTAAAACTAAATAGTACTTACAGAAGGGCACATAATTTTCATACAACACGAGTTATCCTTTATTTCTTCAGTTTGAGCTATTTTTTTTCAGTTTACCTCAACCCTCTTTCACCTGCCATTCTTACTGGTGCCTAAAACATCATTTTCCCACTTTTTTCTGAATTTTCCTGTTAGTAAATGATAGAAACCGAGAATATAATTTTGAAATAATTTGTTGAGAAGGGGTAATAATGTCCATTTTCATTGCGAATTGCGTTTTTTTTGAAACTCAATTGCCCAAAACTTTTATTGAGAACTCAATTAGAATTATTTAAATCCATGTACTCACAAATCAGATAGATGTATAATAATCTCGGATTTATTGAATAATAATAGTTGAGGAGTATTCTCAGAACAATATAGTTTTTGTATATTTGAAAATCAACAGAATGCATAAAGGAGGAATTTGACTGATCATTTTATTTAATATGAGATGCAATAGCACGAAAAAGTACAAAAAATAAAGCGAAAAATATGAGCCGTTTACGAGAATAGTGCGATTGAGGCATTTGTGGATGAATGCGGCAATTCTAAAAGTTCCATTACACAAAAAATTGCGAGTTCTTCGAGAAAACTCTCTTGCGTTTAACTCATTGATGAAGTGTTCTCCGCAAATGAAATAAAATAAAGGAGTAAAATCACGTAATGTATAGTTGATAGAATCGAAAAAAATGTCAAAAATTACAAAAGTGAAATCTGAGAAAAAAATCGATGTAACAGAAAAATGACGTTATATGACACTTATGCTGTATCACATCTTAGCACACCGATGCATTCCTCAGAAGATTATCAAAATCCGACTGTTTTTTTGAAAACTCTGTTTAAGATGTCCACGTCTTTCACTCTAATGTCCCCACTTTCACTAATTTTTTTTTTTTTGTTGATGAAACGTTTTGTTACGGTATATACTAACTCAATAATGTAAGAGTAGAGAGACCCCAGAAAACAAATTGAATTTATATGTGCAATTTCAGAGAATTGTGGGAGGCAACAAAAATAGCGGTACTGCAACAATTTCATAAACACGACTTTTCCTTATCCAAAGAAAGGAAAGACCTCAGGAGCTATTTTATGAAATTGAACATGAGCCTTCACATGTTAATCACGTTTCATAATCAACGGCCGCGCGCGACATATCGTCTCAATCGAGTTTCTGGAAATATTCATTTGGGTGATTCTCCGCTTACGGTGTATCCTTGCTAGAGGTAAATTTATCAGTCGGTCGGACCGTGGAATGATTGGCAGACGGACGGGAGATTTTGAACGGAAGATGGATGGTGGGAAAACGAACGAAGACGGACGGATCGACGGCCAGACATCGCTTCCTAAACTTTTTCTGTTTCCCCACAACAAAATACAGATCTGATTAAACGAACATGAGAAGAGGAGAAGAATTTAACATAGTAATAAAAATCAAAATTACCTACCCCAGGATTTGTAACTTGAATACCCCGCCGTTCTGTCGCGGCAGTTGCAGTTTTCTTTCTTCTGTACTGCGTATCTCGAAAGAAAGTAACATAATTAATTATGTGCGTAATAATGTTCACAAACCATCACTTCATGAGAGAAATGTTCCCTGATCTGTATTTATATTGAAAATGATTCGTGACAAGGAAACGAGTATAAGTCTTCATGCCCACTTATATCTTTGTATATCATGCCACTACTGTCAATCTTCTTAAAATCCTCTAAACAAGGTAATGAAAATAGTCCCAGTTTGAGAAATTACGCGAGCGCGAAATCACACCCTATCAATTGCTGCCTAGCGGCACTCCTTTCAATTACTACTGTAGTCCTGTATATTGCCGCACACGGAAACTAATAAGAGCTCAGCAAACTATCCATCAAGTCACACTTCGAGACGAAAGCTATCTCTCACCTGTCATTGCCGTACGCTGGGACAAGCTCTATGGCGGGACATGAGGTGCGATATGTGTGACGCTTCGGCCATCGCGCCTACTAAGTAAAACGGCAATGGAAACAATGGGAGGTGAATTGCAGACAAGTGAGGTAGTGGACATGCCATGTCACTCTCAATATAGATGACAATGGATGTGGAGGAAAGGTGCAACGAAACGCATTCGCGTGAGGTGTTCATTGATAACTCGTTTTCCCGGCAACGACTAACCTAGATAAGGTCAGTTAGTCTGCTAAGAGTAGTACTATTTGTGCATAGATTTTTTTCACCGTGCATGTAAAGAGGTGCGGTCTTGTCTCGCTGATAGATCGGCGTCGATCCTACACGTCGGCTTCCGGGTTTCCCGACGTAAAGGATACCGGGCAATGGAAATCAGGAATGGCATAAAACCGCTGGCGGTTGGTCCGGTTGCTCCGTCCGTCCGTTGCCGTTTCCTGCAATTCCCGCTCTGATGGTTGAGGAAAAATCACGGAAAAACTATCTGTCAAAGTTCTCGGCCGCAATAATCCTTTGCCAGATATGGCTGCATTCGCACTTAGCTATACCGACCTAGTAATAAGCCAAGCACGTCCGAAAATCCTGCCGATATTTCTCCGGATCTCGAACAATAGGACCGCCCAGTCCTGAGTTGTCGCAAACAGCGCAGGCAAAATTGCCCGTTTCTAAGCTAACCAGACAGTATATTTCAATAAAGAATGTTAACGAAAGTGCACTCGCAACACTTGTAAGAACCTAGCATGTAATTCTATAGTTTGATGCGAAAATTAATTAGGAGACATCAGCTTCCTGTCCGATTAAGATTTACTTAAAATATATCATTGCCCAAGTGAAAAACTGAGGAGCCTCTTCGTTTATTATTACGTCCCATGAATAATGTCTAATAACATGGGAACGCATTCACATAGGCAATTATATGGAGTACATACCAACATAATTATTAATATTGATGTAGGATAATTTCGAAATTAATTTACCCTGATACCGCTTTCAGTACTCTCGTATACACAATCTGAATCGCCGGTTCGTCTCTTTCTGATCTCTTCGTTTGATCTCGATTCGCAAAGAATTGATGGTGAAAGGGGATAGCGCGTTCTTGAAGTAAATGTTGGATCACGCTGAATGGTTGCGTTTGTTTCAGAGATAATTTAAACTATTCATAGTATGCAAGTATGTCGACTTGATTAGGATTATTATAGTCATGTTCGAAAATATTCTCCGGTGAATTATGTTTATTCGAATTAGGCAAAAAAAATATAGGTTTTTTATTGAGGAGATTTTTTTTTTTTTTTTTATTTTTATTTTAAATCACCGTTATACATATCCCCCCTGATATTATAAAGATTTTTTCAACAAAAAAGAAAAGAACCTCCCCACATAAAATAATCGGAATATTGAGAATAACCGCCGTTTGCGTACGCAATGAATAACTGGCTACCGGACGAGCGTATCAAAATATCGGGAAAGAATTATCTAAGTTTGGCTATTTAAATATGCTTTTGTGCTTAAGATATTAGAAATAATCCACCCAAAAGTGTAGTGTTTTGTTTTTGTTTTATTGGATTTTGGAGGAATTGTTGTTGTAGAAACTTGAACTCTCTGTTTAATATTTAGATGTACCAAAATCGTTGGCTTCCTTGTCAATTTTTGCTGTGCAAGTTCGTGGGTAATTGACCGAAAATGTGTAATATGCAAATTAACTGTTGCATGCGTATGCCAAGGCATAAGTCATCACCGAAGAACTGTAAAGTTGTCTTTCGTCGACACGCTACTTGCGAATCATCATTACAAATAAACTGAGTGATCGGGATTCGCGTTTGCAACGCGTTTATTATGAGTACTGCCCCACTACAATGCAACATTATATCCTTTTTCTTCCGGTAGTCCGTGTTTTGTGGTGCGGAAGAAACAGCCAGACGGCGGCTTACAGGTGCGCCTAAGAAAATAATAAGTATGAGAGTGGTTTAAAAAAAATAGAAGTAATTTATAATAGTGGGCCCATAATGAGTGATATGAATGCGTGAGAGCTCCTCGCAGAGGGAAAAGACCCGCTCTTCACCTGGAATCTTCATCAGGCAGTGAAAAGGATTGTGTTTTGGGTGGGGAAGTAGTTTATCCACAAAAAAAAACGGAAAAAGATCGAAGTGTGAGTAAAAAATATTGAGAAAATAGTAGGAAATAACAATAGTGGTCATGAATATTGTCTATACTGAATGGTTTCAAATATCTTTGGGAGCTCACTTGGAAAGACTACTCAAAGAAAAGTGGTAGATATAAAGTATTGAACTTATTATTCAAACTGTGTAGGATAATGTTACTTCAAAGTAATCCGATGGGGGCTATTGTTTAAGGAACAAAGCAATTGCAGAACTTTGTTTTGCATGTGACGAGTTTGCTTGTTCGTAGTCACAAAATTACAATGGTGCATAACCATGAGGAACAATAGACATTAGTCACAGGACAAGTCGTTCAACCTAAAGATACCCTTAATTTTTATATGTTCTCAAAATTATATTGAATCTTCAGTATCTAATTAAATATTTTTAAATTAACTAATATTAGACTTAATATCTGCAAGTAATGTTAACACAAATTAACTAATTAATCAAATAGTTGAGAATTGTCTGAAATTCTGAATAAATTGATAAACCTTAAAATAGGTAATTTAATAAAATAATTATTAAAGCTATAAATATGCCTTCCCAAAATATTGAAAGGCTACTGCGTTGTAAACTATTAATAGAAAAGTAGTTAAGAACATCTTGTCTTTGAAAGTTATACATGTAAAATGATGTGGTTTTAAAGCGTAATTATTCATATACATCTTAAACAATTGTTCGAGCAAGTATTAACAATATATTTGATATGGAGAACATTAAGTCTATTTCTGCAGATTAAATATGCTTGTAAGATTCATTTAACCCACGAACGAAAGTTATTCCATGTAATATACTTAATTCATATATTATCATATATTCGTAAAATACTTATGAAATGCTCAGAAAGTCATGTTTTTGAGATTTGAAATACGTGCCATTCTCTCTGTTCAGTGATAAAGATATTTACAAAGTAAATGGCGGTAGAGAGCTCAGGTAATAAGCAAAGTAAATCATGATAGCTTGTTACAACTGCACAACGGGTGAAGTAACAAGCACACATCTTATTTTGGTAAATGACTCTTATGATTACATGAAAAGGCAGTCAAATTTGAGCTCTATGTCGGAGAACATATAGATATTGCAGAAATCTGTCGAATGTGGACATAATTGATTTCTGACAATAGTAAATTTCTACAGTATTACGAATAAATGTGGAATCTATATATCATATTTAAAAATAAGTATTGATCACTTAATGATATCTGCATTGAGAACTCTTTTGCCTGGTGCTTATTTCCTGTTGCAATGCTGAATTATGCTATCTGGTGCTGTTCTTGATTATGAATACTTCAGTTACATATTGATTGCTTAGCAAAAATCGGGTTGATTATCCAATGGTAGAATGTGTATTTGAAGTAGTAACGTTCATGTAAAGTTGTACACATTTCAATGTTAATTGTAGTATACATAAGTGTGGATAAATATTTATTATCTAACAAATACTTTTCATTTGTTGAAAGAATTAAATTTATCATTAAGCTATTACATAAATTGACTAATTTTTAAATTTTAACAACTATTGGCGATATGATATAACTTTGGTAATCTGCAACACATGCGTATTCTGAGAGGGGTGCATAATGATTTCCTTTAAAAACTTGTTAAATCTTCAAAAAACAAATCACAAATATTAATACATAAAAAAATTCTTTGATTTAATATGGTGAAGGAAGTAACCATTAATTAGCATCCACTCAGTAAAAATTCATTGATAAGATCATCCACTGTTTTGACAACTTAAAGGGATTTTGCAACAGTCAATAAATAAAAATTGATGTACACATAGGGAAAATAATTTCTGATTACTAGTCAAAAAGTCTTAATCAAAGGAATAGTAGGAAAGAGTCTGACATATTAGTTATGCCCTTTGTAGATTTTCATTGCTGGAATTTCCAGTTGATATCAATTGGCAAAAACATTAGTTCATTTTTGAGTGGTGTTTTCATCCAACATTTTTCTTTTTCTTTCCTTTCTCTTCTTTTTTTCGCCAGATATTGAAAGTGAATCCTTCATCTGAGGAAGTATGCGAGTAAGTGAGGATGATATGGGAATACAAGGCCAATAAGGAGGCGGCCTTGTAAGTGTCTGTGTACTTGTTTTATTAATACGTTAGTGTGTGTGTGTGTGATTATTATATATCAATAATATATAATATATATATAGTATATATATATATTATATATATATATATATTATATATATTAAATAATATATAATTGTAATAGCGTTTTCATAAGAAAATGTATAGAGTGTATCCTTCATTTGTGAAACTTTAACAAAATGGCATAGTTAAGTGAAGAGGAAAAAATTTTTATTTTTTTACTATTATATCATCCGTATAATGGTAACATTTAGGTGTTCATAGTTACAACAGTTTTTACCACAATTATGTAACCCAAATTGATGATGGCGAAAATTGCGGTGTGTCTGGCTGCTACCGTAGCTAAATGATAGGTAGTTTTTAATATGTACTCTGCATATAAAGCTGTGTAACTTCTATGGAAAGGGGGGGAGAGCTCTTCATAAGAAAATGCTGGTATATTTGAGTTATCTGGGTAATATAAGAGTGAGGGGTGGTTTTGAGAAAAAAATATAAATAATGGACATCATTAAGGAGTTCTAAGGAACTAACTTATTGATTTTAACTACGGGAAAATGTATAGTCGCAAACCACTGAGATTTTTTTTTTTTTGTGTACACAATGCAATGATAAAATGTTTGAGTATTTTTCATATTAAGACATATAAACCTTGTCTAATATTAAATATATGAACTTTGTGTAAATCTGTTTTGTCTAGTTCAGGTCCTGAGTAATGATTGGATTTTATGCAGGGTAATGTTTAATTGAGAATAGCTTTCAAATTTCTTGTGTCCTAGCCAGAGATAAGGTTGGTGACAGGTTTTAGTAGTGAACATCATTTGTTTTGTTTAATATAACATCAGGAATTTTTTGAAATTAAACACTCAATTGTAAACTAATAACTATCTGTTCCAACCAAATAGTTAAAAATTTTAATATTTTTTATTTTTAATTTCATTTTAAAAATCTCATTTGGCTTAAATATTTATTCCCAGTCATTCCAAACTTTCAAATTAAGAAAGAATGCTACTCCTTAATAGTTTTCTAAGAACAGACAACTGATAACGTTCAAGCAGTAATAGGCTGAAAAATATTTGTGTGTGTGTGTGTGTGTGTGTGTATACTATATGAATGAAGGGCAAGTAGTGTGGTAACAGAATGTAAACTACAATAACAGATGAATATACACAAGAAAATAAGCTTCCTAAAAAAAAACTTTGTACTGGCCGTAATTAGAATGTTTAAGTCTCTGGAGACTGGTCTGGATGAGGATCTTGGTAAGGGCTGTATGCCATTAAAAAATTTCATGTGTGAAGAAACATCTTATGCTATGTTTACACTGATGTTTTGTACCTAGCAATAGTGAGCCGCTCAGCCTTCAGAGCTGCAGTTTCCCTAGAGTCAGAAAACCTGGAACATCTTTGGCCCATCATTTTGTTTCTAATCTACCATGCACTTGCTTTCGCCTTTAAAACCTAGAAATTAGTACTCAGATACCACAACAAAGAAATTGGAAGGACTGTTAAGCAAAGTGAATTATGAAACCAAAACAATACTGCGCATATGACTCTAAAGTACAAATAATTTAAAAGAGTAATTTCAAAATTTTAATGTAATTTGGTTAAAGGATAAAATACTTTTCAAAACTACCTTATTAAAACTGAGTTAAATCAGTGGCATACTTTTGAAACAACATATTGAAAAACTAACTTTTGAAGCACAATTTTAACAATTTGCAAACATTCAGTGGACACTTCTGAACAGTTTCTATTTCTTAATGAATATAACTTTTAAATCACACTAGAATTACTCTCTAAACCCCTTGTGTTTATGTGTGTGTGCGTGAATACACACTATAATCTCACTAAATAATTGAGCACTGTCACGGCATACGTAGCATATCCATACTTCACACACACCACAACCACAACATGACCCGGATTGCTCCTTAATCATTTTTCCTTGCGAACAATTCCACTAAACTCATCTGCCCCTCAACCACTATTCCCACACTCCTGAACACTCTTTACTCTTACCTACCCATACACCTCACTTAATTACTTCACTCACCATCCCCAATGAGCACTCACTTCGCACCCTCCACATACAAACCGCTCAATCCCACTACTCTTCTTTGGCCCACTCACTTCTTCACAACAAACCCACATAATCACACCCACACTTCGCATCTTGCCCACACTTCGCATACTGCTCCACACTCGCATCTGCCCCCACACTCGCATCTTCCTCCACATCTCTGCAATCTTGCCCAACATTCGCATCTGCCCCACACTCTCTTTCCGCCCCACACTCACATCTCACACTTCCCGCTACACATTACCCCTGCTCCAAACTCCTTCACGAGTCTCCACGCTTCCTCGCCCCCTCCCTCATTTCGATTCGCCCCCGCCCTCCTTTCTCGCGCTCCGCACCCTCTTCCTCGCCCGCACCATTCCTGCTTCACACAAGGTTCCCTCGCACCTCATGCCCTGCCCGCGGCACTCACTTGCACCTTTGAAGCGGGTTTGTAATGCCGGCACTTAAATTCTGGTCTCTATGAGTCAACAAAGGGCTTTGGACACCACCACAATACAACGCCTCTAACCTATTGCCACACCATTCATTCACATACTGGGTACTACACCCACTCCCCGCGCATTCAGCAAGCGCCAACACACTTGCACTCTACGAGACCAACATCCCACTTCAGCAGCTCTGATTCCAATACCCCCTCCCCAACGACGTAACACTAGAGACGTCTATTACAACTACACCCACACTTTGTCTCAGTCAAAACAGACACTATATCACAACCACAACACCACCGCCTCCAGTTTCATTCACCACACATGATAGCCCCCCCGCCACACAGCAGGTCACATTCGCATATCACTTCTCGCATGCCATCACCTTCCCATACCCCACATTTACACCATTTATCCTTCCGACACGACACATACTGAACAAACCATACCATCACCACACCCCACACATCATCATCACACCCCCACATCACTCACACAAATCACTCACTCCACACTCACCACCCCAACACATCCACTCACCCCACACATCACCACACCCCGACGCATCACCTCACTACCCACTCATCCACTCACCTCACCATCACCCCCACCCACACACCCCAACCCACACCATCACATCCCCACACACACATCCACCCAGACACCATCACATCCCCACACACACATCACATCCCCACAACACACATCACACCGCAACACACGACTCAATCACATCCGCACCACACACTCATCACATCCGCACACACACTCATCACATCCCGCACACACACTCATCCACATCCGCACACACACATCACATCACATCCTCCCCACACACATCAACATCAATCCCCCACAACACATCACAATCCACAACACACATCACATCTCCCACACACACATCACATCTCGCCACACACATATCACATTCCCACACACACATGCCACATCTCCACACAACACATCACCATCTCCCACACACACATAACTATCTCCCACACAGCACATTCACAATCTCCCACACACACACAAACATCACATCTCCCACACACAACACACGAGTCCCCACCATCAACACATCGACATCCGCAAACCCAATACAACTCAATCACAACCCCCACACACATACAACTCAGCACACACGCATGCACACACATAGCACACACGACATGCACCCAAAAGATTGCATCGTGCATGGAAGCAATCAGCCAAACCCACTCAATACATCAGACACATGTTACATCAGACACACTCCTGTGACCACAGACACATCTCTGTACATCATCGAAACCCACAAGTACAAGTACAGACACACTCAGTACATATCACACATCACTCCAGTACAATCTACACCGACAACCACTAAATATAACACATCACCTTACTCACACCAGTACATCACACTACACACTCTCAGTCACACACACACCACAGTAACATTCATACATGGATAATTTTAAACAACACTCAGTACATTTTCTCATGGTATTCACTCACACACACACCAGTTACATCACACACAACACACATCGACCACCAGTATCATTTCAACACAACACACACACACTTGAACACAAGGGGACAATCCACTATTGCAGTAAAATCAAGCACACACACACAAACTCAAACGAATCAACACACACACACTCAGTACATCATCACCCTCACACTCAGTAACCAGTCACGTCAATTGCACATCACACAACTCCTCATTTATTACCCACGCGACACACTCGCATATTACTCACACCTACTCACTGCAGTGTTCTCACACACCGCATTCACCTGACTGTCTCTACACCACATGCACCCGACTCTCCATATACACTTCACATATACACTCCATTCCTTGTTCGTTCACACAATCCACACACATTTAGTGCACACACTTTTCATACACATCGCACCTACTTATACTCAGCAAAAACACTCCATTCACAAATACATGTAATACACACATACACTCCTTATTCTCATTAACATGCATTTCAAATGCACTGCACTACACTCCATAAACACATTAACATGCACTCCATATGCACATGCACTTCATATGCAAATATACTCCATATGCCCATGCACACTATACACACATGGAATCCTCACACATTGCACATACACACGTGTACACACTTAGGCATTACTTGCACTTCATACGTTCTTGTTTATACTCTGCTTAAATGCATACAAACACACTTGCACACTGAATTTATGGACTGCATACAAATCACTGTTACGTAGTATATTTTTAAAAGACTTCTTCTTTTCTTGAGTGCTTAATCATAAGACTGCTTTAAAAGAACCATAATTGTTTGCCTGTTTTTAGAGAGTCAGTAGTGATAATGAAAGCTCCAGTGAAGATAGTAGCAGTGAAAGTAGTGAAGAAAGTGATGAGAGCAGTTGTGAGGATAATGATGATAACATTACTCCCCGTGTAGGTGGAAGGCGTGGAAGAGTTACTAGATCTTGTGTAAGTTTGAGTATATTGTTTTTTTATAAATTATTTGGGTGTATTGGTTGACATTATGATGAGTTTGACTTTTATATTATATTTGACAGCGTGTGGAGAGTGAAGAGGAGAGTTCTTCAGAATCTGAAAGTGATGAGTCTTCCTCTGAAAGTGGTAATAATTCATTTACATTGGCATTGGGGAAAAAATAGGAGAACACATTCAAATTTTTAAATATGTATTTGCAGGGCATAGTTCTGCAGGTTCGTATGAATCATACGATAATACTGACGAAGAAGCAATGATTCAGGCAGCTATTCAAGAATCACTTGCTAGTGCTACTGTGAAACCATCTGAAGCTGAGAACTCTGAACCGTCTGAAGTAAGTTATAATAAATATTGTTCTTTTGACATTTGTGCAGAATAATATACTTAAAAGAAATCTTTTGTAGAAGACTGCTGCCAAGAAGAAACCTGTTGTGTCTGAGGCAGGTGGATTTGCATCTGATACTAGTGATGGTGAATCAGAAAAATGTCCAATATGTCTACTCAGCTTTACAGATCAAGAGATTGGCTCACCTGAAACATGTGATCATAGTTTCTGTTGCGTTTGTATTCAAGAATGGGCCAAGGTAAATTCAGTTTTTGTGTTTTACAATACATTTTGAATTTGGGACATTCATAAATTATTATTTATTTATTTATTACTAGTACTTGGCTAACAATTACAAAATTATAACAATAATAATAATATTAACAATAATAATGTTTTTTTCCCTCCAGAATGTTAACACATGTCCAGTTGATAGACAAGTATTTTCATTAATCCTGGTTAGAAAACAATTAAATGGCAAAGTTATCAAGAAGATTCCTATTGCCAACCGTGAAGCAAGAGATCCTCAAGAATCTGATACTGACCCTACATTTTGTGAGGTTTGTAAGATAAATTTTGATGCATCTTATTATGATTATTACATGATATGTTTTAACAATAATAACTTAATTATACGCAGAATATGAAAATAATACAATTTGGAACAAACTGGGAGATACAAGATTTTTGCCCTTAACAGTTTAATGTAAGAGCCTGAGTATAATCAGGTGTTTCATATTTCAAAAACTTTAAAGCCTAAGTGTACTAGTGATGTTTCTCAATGACTGATACACTAGTTTAAAGTGTGAATATACTTGTTAACTGCAATTAGTTTGAATCAAGTTCGCAAGAAAGAATGCAAATAATAATATTTAATGTGTGGATGTGGATGTATGTATATGCTAAAACATATTAGTACACTTTCTTTCTGAGCCCAAAATAATGGGAAATTTTTTAAAATCTAATAAGGATACGATTTCACCAGTTACCAAAAATCTTCACTTTCAAGCCACGTGACGCCCTGTGAAGAGAGATGACGATCACTTTGTGTGTGTGTATTTATATATATATATATATATATATATATAACACAACTTGTGGAAAATATGTGTATTAAAATATGTACATGGTCCAATTAATTTAGTAACGTGCATTGATGAATTCAATTATGGATCTCATTCATTGACACCATCTGTTTGCACACAGTTAAACTACTGCATTGATGCACTTCTGATTCTGTGAAGTCATGCCGGTAAAAAAATTTTCAAAGTAATTATTTTGTCAATGTAATAATGATTGTGGCTGTAAATCATAGTGAATAGTACTCTAGATTTATAAATGAAGCTCACACAAAGGCTTCATCCACATTGGTTGAGTACACTCAGTGTCTACCCTATTTAACACTTCAATGCGTTTGACTTTATGTATTAAGGTAGAGTGTATATTCTGCTAGGTAATGCTGACTCTTTAAAATGAAACTTGTGGATCCAAGTACTTTCATTACAGAGAGATTTTGTTACATGGAGAGAATGAATCACAGGATAGGTTGTAAGGTAATCGAACAGAACTCTAGTCATATCCATGTTTTTTTAATAGGAAGTTTTTTATTTATTTACTTAAATATACCGGCAGCTGTAGAACAATTTAAACTGTTAACTTAATGTGTGTATACACTTTTTTTTTTGTTGTAAAGAAGTTCTTATTAGTGTTTACTCTGTATTTTTAATTATGATTGTTGGGCAAAGAAACAATATTTTAATCTGATTTAATTTTTTATACATAGTATTTCCTTAAACGATTTAGAATCAAATTTGTTGAATGAAAAAGCAAACATATTAGGTGTCAGTTTTATTTGTTGAGAGAATAGCCTTTGAATCAAAGGAGTGTGATAGAGACCTGCATAAAAAAGGGGGGGAATTAGCTAATTAATGCCTATTTTGGAGAACAGTTAAAAAAAATTATTGCTCTTCATTTTTTCCCAAATACGTTTTTGAATTTTAATCCTTGCAAAACATTAAATTATGCAACTAGGCAATTGTCATCTCTGAGTTCGTTCTTCACAACAATAAAAGAATTTCGTCCTGATTATTGATTATTTTAATAGATTGTTATATCACATCCAGAAATTTTTTGTTATTTCTTTTTTAACCTAAAGGAAATAACCCAGGATGATCCTCTCCTATTTTGTTTAGTTTTGGGGATGAAGTAATGTCTTACATATCTTTGGATTCAAGATTTTCACTATAAAAAATTTATACATATTCAAGCAAGCTCTTAACACTAACTTCAGTTTTAGAATATTAAATACAAGTCTTCCCGTTCACTTTAAAATATCCATGTGCTATTAGTGCAGGAGCTGCTTGCTACCTTTTCCATTTGGTGCTCAAATTTTGCATAGCTGCTTCACATGAAACTGAATTGTCTGACTCATTGCTACTCCCTTCCTTCTTCTCTAACCCTCTTTCTCTCTCTGTACCTTTTGCCACCTGTCACCATTCTTAGCTGCCCTTTGCCACCTGTCACCATCTTGGCCACCCTTAGCCATCTTTAGCTATCCTTTGCAAATTTTGCTGCACTGATCTACCTTTTACCACCCTTCATCAAACTTTGCCGCCTTTAGCCAAACTTTACTGCAGTTATCCAAACTTTGTCATCCTTAGTTACTTGTAGCCAAGCTTTGTCACCCTTATTTTTTCAGAACGAAGGAAAATTTTGGCATCTAATTTCTTGAAACATTTTTGGGGGAAGAAAGAAAAAAATAAGTTATTATTAAGGAAAGACTTTACTTAATCTACCACTATTTCATTACTATTTACAAAATCTTTGTCAAAAATACAAACTAAATAATGTTGCAAACAAGTCGACAATGTTTGGGTCAGTTTCGGCCTGAAGATCATGTAAATACATATCTGTTCAGTTCTGTTCAAATTTGTCAGTGCAAAGTAAAGAAAATGTCTGGAAAAAGTGTGAGAAATTTGCTCTAGGAAATATACTGCCAACCTGAGAATGTTCATTGGTGTGTGTGCGATTCGAAAATCATAATAGTGATTGTCCCTTGTGTTCAGGTTACACAGAAGAATACAATTTAAATATCATGTAAAAATTGTATATTTTAGGAATCTGTCAGCTTGGTGCCATGTATCAGCCGAAGTGTAATTCAAAACCAAGGTGTACTGTATCAACCAAAGTTCAGCCTGTTCAACCCTGTTCACCCTCACATAACCTAGAAGACATAATAAAATTGGAAAATTCTTATGAGTTTATAGTTGTAGGCTGAACTGCAGCCATATCTAATTTTCCTGAATTGGGAAATTCTTGAACCATAATATGTAATACTTCACTCTTTCCCTCAAAATTTCAAATTAACAGAGAAATGGTTTAGATGTAAAAGCAGTATTTCAAATTGTATAAATGTGATAAAATATATTAAACAATTTTCCTTTGCCTTTCATTCACCATTGTTTGCAAGCCTGTGGTAGTTTTTGCAATTAAGTAATGATTGTTATATTTTAATCAATAAAATATTTTTAAAAAGAACAGAAAATAGGATATGACAAATAATGTATTGTATTGTATGTTATGTATTGTTTATTTGAAAGATGATGATCTCTATTGAAAAAATGATATGATTCTGTTTATTCCTCATCTCTTGAAAAGAGTTCCCTGTACCTCAAGTATTTTGGTGGGCCAACCATTGCAAATTTGTTGTCACAGACATTACGTAAATTCATAACTGTAAAGTCAAAAATCTTCAATGACCTTAAAGTATGCCTTTTTTGGAGCTGTATTCTTCCAAACTGATTGTAATTGGAGTATAAATAGCCTAATTAACATTACATAATTTTTGTATTAGAAAACTGGAATTTGAATATTGGATTAAATTGATTTTCTCTAAATTTTCAGGTCTGTGGGCGCAGTGATAGAGAAGATAGATTACTTTTGTGTGATGGCTGTGATCTTGGCTATCATTTGGAATGTCTCAACCCTCCCATGGAAAATGTACCCATTGAGGAGTGGTTCTGTCCTGAGTGTGCAACTGATCAATCTTCCCCATTGGCAGAAGAAGTATGTTGACTAATATTCCTATTATTTAAATTATAATTGGTTTGTAATGTTTTTAGTGTTTTCATCAAGGTACAGCAATTTTTCAGAAATACACCAAATTAGATGCAGGGAAATGCTTTCCACCATAACCCCCTCACCCAACCCCCTCCCCCTTGAAGCCACTCCTCCCTCTAAAGAGCAGTTTGTTATTGTTGTGATCTGTAAAAGCCTAGTTGGCAAGATGCCTAACTAACAAATTTAAGACTAAATGGGTTGAGCTATGATTCTTACAAAATCTTTGGACTGGGATTTTTATCTTCCTGTAGTCTTAATGTTTCCAGATTAACCCAGCTTACTATTCAATGAGGATTTAATATTTACTAAAGCATTCTGAACCATTTTTTCCAATTATAGTGCTTCACATTCACACACAAGTGTTATATTCCCTGTTGGTAGAATATGTGTGGTTGTGATTTGAAACAATAGAGAACCGAGTCAATGACCTCTTGATTTGTCTGGAGGTAGTGTCCTTGCTGTGTGTTTTACAGGGACCAAAGATGTGACACATGTTGGCAGGGTAGTAGAAGGCATCATCTAACCCTGACTATTTGAATGGGGTCTGGATTTCTGTTTCTGTAAGTGATTGTGCATTGTTATGCAGGAATACCACCCCAAAGGACAAAGGGGGTGTCTTCTTTTGACCTCATTGCATTATGCAAATGCTTCAGGGTACAGCAGTAATGAGCAACATTGTTTGTTACATCACATGGGACAAAATGAATCAGTGGTGTTTCTTGACGGCCGAATACAAGGTTTTCATAACTTTTCTGTGCCAATTTGCTTTTCTTGGGTAGAGTGCAGGCTTTGTCTTTTGATTCACAAGCCCAGTTTTACAGTCTACTTATTTGATCAGGTCATCTGTGATTACAATGATTGTTCAGGATGCTCATTATCCTGTAGTGATTTGTCTTTCATAAAAACATTTATGCTGCTCCTGCATGGGAGTCAAATATAGCATGTTCTCCAAACACTACTGCCATTTGTCAGCGCACTTCATGAACACCAACATATTCCACCACTAGAAACTGAATGACCCCACTTTACTCCTTGCCAGTGAACATTGTGATTTTATAGAGAATAAGTGAAATACAAAAGAACACTCTCAACACTTTTTCAAAATGGTTAGAAACCATATTCTTGGATGCAGGAGTTTTTAAACAAATATGTGCCTAGCATTTTTCCCCCCTCAATTACACTTGCAAATGAAGATTTACTTCACATTATATGCTAATAAACAATAAAAACTTCATGAAATACGCATTAAAAATGAAAACAAGCATATTAATAATATTATTCCCAACAATTATTATTAAATACCAAATTTTCAGGAAGATTTCTTGTGAATATCTATATTAAACAGTAGTTTGTGCAAAACAGTTCCACACAAATGTTTTTTAAAATTATCGGAAAAAAAAGCTTTTGCTATCCAAATAGTTGAACTTTGGAAAAAGGAGACAGAATTGTGGTTGATCTTGTTGAAACTTTCTGATACTCAATGGTGAATACAATGTGGAAACACCCTTGAGTTTTTTAAGAAATCCACTTATGACAGGGGTCTTAATGGGCACGAGAGGAGGGAATAGCTCTATCCAACTATGGTCCGTTTTTTTTAACAATTGAAAAGTAAGTCTGTTTTTTTAACAATTGGAATTAACTCCCTACTGTGTGGAGGTAGAAAAGATCGGAACATATAAAACCAAATTCGATCATACAAAATTAAATTTTGATAAAAGACATTAATAGTTTGCAAGTCCTCTACATTCCATAATACATGATATGATGCAGAAGGCCATCTAGAAAGGAAGGTCTGCTGCTTTAAAGGGCTTTAATTACGTCATGAACGATGGCAGGAAATGCATGCTGTTCAGGCGTACTCTCCAGTTTGGTACAGAGATATATTGTGTTTACACAAATCTAATGCGCACCCCATATTTGAAACTTTACATTGCGAAAAAAGGTTTTGTATCAAGTGTAATGCACATCATTAACAGAATAATATATTTTGTATTTCTTTAAATTTAAGTAATTCAGCTATGGATTTATCTTATACATATTTAGCATTCTAATTGCTTTAGTACTAACTGCGTTACGCTTTAATGAAGTGCCACAAGACATTCTTCTCTCTTTGCCCACCATAACGAAACAAAAAATCATCAATAATAGACCAATGATATGTGAAACAAAACTTGAAAACTCCAGAAATCCATTGTTGACGTAATAAATGTAAAAATTTAATGTAGTTACTGGCGTTCTATGGAACGGATTTGCACTCGAATCTAATATGCACTATGATTTTTATTCCAACATTTGGTCCAAAAAGGCACTAGATTTGCGTAAATACAGTTTTTGTTACAAACACTTATAAATGTGTATTCATGTAATATGGCACAATCTGGGAAACATCTAGGGTACTTGGCACTCGAGGAATTTATTTTAGTGTTCTGAGAAAACTCCAATTATACATATTTATGTGTTTTCACATATATGCATTGGTGTTTATAAGTCCTACCTAATTTTACATTTGTTCATATTTCACCCTTATATGTCCATTTTAAAAGGCCTGACAGTATACTGTCATAAATCAAATAGTATTAAAGATAATAGTGGAACCTCAGGCAAATCAGCATGATCAGCACAAACGATAAGTGTCCCTACTACCACTTAGTGGCCTCAGCTGCACACTACAATGACACTTGACTGGTGCATTTGACTGATGCATATTTTTAGGAAATCGGTAAAATGATTTGCAATCCCTTTGCAGTTTGGTATTACTGCACCGGTAGATGCTACAAACGCAACCCGTTCCTGCAAGAACGAACTTTTCTCAAATAATGAAAAGTACACCTGACAAACACTAAGAAAACACAAATAATGAATTTGCTTGTAAACAATGCTTATTGCTCACACTTGCAAATCCAGCCAAGCTGTAGTTCACACCTCGAACTGCAGGAGAGCGTTGTTTCAGTCACCAAAATATTCGACAAGTTTCCACTATTATCTTCTATACTTATTTGCATAAATGAACAGTAAGTGAGAACAATTCTGTTGTCATAGAGGAGCTCAAAAAATCTGTTTAGTTCGGTACTACTTTTGAGGAGGTGGTAATTCAGAATACATTATTTTGCATAATTAATTTTTGGCTTGTATGGTTCAAATTCTTGCATATAATTGGCTAAATTTCGTGAATGGAGTAATCAGTGTAATGATTAGCAGTGATTTAATGTAGTGATCAGTGTAATGATTAGCAGGTTCTTTTATCAATAGTTTTAATAAAACAGTATGGAAGTACTACATTCTTAACAACATTCGTTTTCCATACCTAAGACCACTTTATCAATTGTGTGTGTAATATTTATAATGCAGAAATGCAAACTATTATGGATTATCGCGAATGTTTCCAGAACTGTCCTTCTATAGTGTAATGGTTATTTATTTATTTATTTATTTACTTATGAATTTAGAGACATCCAAGATACAAATATAAGACCAATAATAGAGAAATATACCTGTGATATAAACGTTTAGTTGAAAATGGGCACAAAAACTCCCTCAATAAGCAAATGAAAATATTTAATATTCAAATATAGATGTAATATGTACATAAAGGATGAACACAATTCTGTATAAACAAATTGGATTTCATCAATCGTCCCAACATATTGGAGAGTTAGATAATATGTCCTAAGAGTTGACTTATGTGAAATTCTATATTTTGTAAAGTACTTGTTAAGGGTTAGATGTATGTTTGTGGCATTCAGAGCATGCCACAAGTCAGTGAATGCTTTCTTGTCTTCTTCTGACTGCACTTGATGAAGAAGGGTTGATTAATTTTTCTCACTTTTCCCGCATTCTTTAAATGAGTTGTAGTGTTTCTATGTTGTAAGATACGATATTTTAGCTCAGTTTACCACCTTTTCCTAACTGTGGCAAAATATTACGTTTATGTCCATTGTGAATCATCTCCATGAATCCACTCTTTTTAATAATGTACTTTGTGACATTGATGGGTGCACGTAAAACACAGACATTGACTTGTTCTGTACAGATTTATTTACAAGTGTGCCTATTTGATATTTACACTCCTGGGAAACTAGCTGTGCACACCCAGCACTGCACATCCCTGAGGCGTACCTACCTCAGCCTGACGCAGACCCCGTCTAATTTAGTGCCATTCCTGCTCTCTCGTCCTGAGGCAACTGCGACACCTCGCTTCTGAAGCTAACGATAACCCCTGGCGGGTGAAAAGTGCCTTCTGCACTGCGATTTGGTTCAAAACAAATGTCCACGCCTGGTTACTCCCCAGCTGCCTCACTATGGCTCACGTGACAGACTCATGTCGGTGGTGTAATCTCATTACTAAACGTTGGACCTGGTTGCAATTTGTAGCTCAGCTGCCCAGTGGCTGTTCTCGCCCATCATTTCCGTCTGTGTCAGTTGACACTTGCGTTCCGAGACATGCCCACCCTGGTCCCTCAGGGAGGCTTCACCTTTTGTGGCCTTCAACTTGCCGACAAGGGACTATCCCTGCCCCCCTTGCTGGCCTCCCGACATGTGGGGTACTGGCATGATGTTACAACTTCTTCAAACTTTTTCTTTTGATATTATAGCAAGCATGCTTAACAAGAGCACCAAACTTACAAATATTTCAGAAATTTCAAGTATTTTCAAAAAATGTTCAAATTAATTTATATTGCCTTCAATGGAATTTTGTATCTTAACTATAGTCAGTCAACCTCGTCAGAAATTGGCATAATTGATTTATTTTTTTATGGAACTTCTCTTTACATTAAAAGCATTTGCAGGTGCAACATTTCATGGACCAATACGTATTGGTTCATCACCAATACGTTGATATACACAGAATAGCATATCAGTACACTGGATTCTAACTGGGAATTTAACCCTTTAACTGCTCCGGGCTGGCTGTGAGTCATGTATCTTGTGTCATGCTTCTCGCTGCG